ATTGTCGTAGACAAGGGGGTTCTTGTAGCATCCTTTCCACTTCTGCTTCTTGTTCATCTTCACAGGATGCTGTGGTGATCTTGTCACCTTTCCTTGTGGTGATTGTCACTGCTTGTATTCTCATCTTTGCTTTTGGTTGTTCTTCATCTTGTCCTCTGTTTGCTGCTGCTGAGGACTGTGCTGTCCTTGATTGTTTGGATTGTGCTTCACCGGTAGGCTCCTCATGTTGTCGCTTGCTTGCTGGTGGTAATGGCAGTGGTGGTCTTGCCATTGTTGTTGGTGAAGTTGCCAATGGTGATGTTGCCATTGTCGTATCCATTGGCTGATGATGCATTGCTTGTGTTGGTAGTGCCAGTGGTGTCTCTTGTGCTGTCTGTGTGCTTGTATCTTCCACTGTAATGTCAGCTTGTGTGCCAATCGCTTGTCTGCTTGTGGTGTTGTCAGCTGGCAGTAGCAATTGTGGCGGAATTGCTATTGGTGTTGTTGGCAAGTTCCATGGGTACACGTTGATGGTATCCAATAGTTGCTTGTCGTACTTGTCTGGCATGATCTGTCTTCGAATTGTTCTTGCTTTGATTACTTTGCCAGGGATGCCGACTATTGATTCTCCAGTCATTGTATCCCTGCCAAGCCAGATTCCTTTGAAGAATCTTGGCTCCATCTTGGGTTGTGCTTTTGTTGTTGGTATCATGTATTGTACTGTTTCTGCCATCTCGCATAGTGGTGCTTTGTGGTCCTTCTGCCATCGTCTTTGGTAACTTGTTTGTCCATCATTGTGCGTGGCATACCTGTTCAGTAGCCAGGCTGCGTGCCGGACGATCCACGGCATGACCGGATGTTGTACGCTCAATGTGAGGTTGTAACTTGTGGTCACTTGTTGTACCAGTGCTCGGACTTGTCCCATCAAGGTGCGATGGAATCGTTCAATGCTTCCTTGTGATTGTGACGAGTATGCTGGTGATTGTCGGATGTTGACGTTGTTTCCGAGCTTTTGTGCGACGGTCTTCAGCAGGTTCTGTATGTATTCTTCTTGGTCTGATTGGAGTGTTGTGGTGGATAGTGTTGCTTGTGCTCGTCCACATTCAAACATGAATGTTTGTAGACATCGTGTCAGGTATTGTTGTTGTTGGTTCTTGTCTTGTACAAGAACTGCCATTGCCATACCTGATTCGACATCTATTGTCGTAAGGACTGGTAGTACTTGCTTGTCTCCAAATGCTTTCATGTAGGTGAAGTCCACTTGTATCACTGGTTGTTTGCTTGCTTGTTTTGGGTGATTGTCTGTTCTTCCTTTGCTCTTTACACATATTGGGCACCATGAGCGATATGGTAAGTGTGTCAGCTCATGTTCTAGCCTCTCTTGTCTTGTTGGTTGTTGTGGCGCCTTCATCCCTTTGGCGCGTTGTGCTTGTTTAGATTCATCTTCATTGTCCGTGTCGTACTCGTACTTGTACGTCGCTTCTTCCTCGAAGTTTGTTGATCCTGTCCATTGTCTATCAAGCTGTCTTGCTCCTGATTCCTGCCAGTTGTCATGGATTGTGTATCCTCTTCCTTGTTCCGTCCTGTTCACGGACCATCATCTGTCTGTTGTGGTACGTACATTGTTGTCCGTGCTTGTGCGTGAACTCGTTTCCAATAATGTCCTTCTCTGATCCAATAGTCTGTTGTTGGTGTCATTGTTGATGGATCAGGTACTGCCGTGGTCATTGGTGTTGGCTTCTTCGTTGTGTGTCTGTATAGTGGCTCTCTGCCTGCCTGTGGTGTTGTCCCGTCTCCGTCCGAGACCCGCAGTGTTGTGGATTGATGTTGTGCCTGTATTGCTTGTGATGCTTTCTCTGTCTTCTCTGTTGTCTTCGCCGTTGTAGGTGCTGGTTGTGCTGGCGGCTTGTTCACTCTGAACCATGTTTCTCCTGTCCATGTCTCCTTGTATCACTCTTCGTTGTTCGTGTTTGTTCAAGTCATGGTATTGTTCAACAATGTCTTCGTTGTTCCCATCGGTTCGCCGGATGATTGTTCGTCTGTAGTTGCTCAATGTCTCCAGTGGTACTGGGCAATTGTTGCAAGGAACAAAGAGAGCTTTCCTCTTGTTCCGGTGATACCGTACAAGGTATCCTTCATTGTTGTAGTTCCAGTAGTCGCTATTGCCTCCAAGGACTTGTTGTGGTCCATGTCTTGTCAGTGTTGCTGGGGCAATCATTGCAATCAGGCCCTTTTGTGTATGTCTCAGCTGTAGTTGTTGATGTTGTCCCAGGTTCATGACTGTGGCTGGTAAGTAGTAGAGATTGTGTCGCTGCACCAAGGGAACATTGAATCCCTTGTCATGGCGCATTGTTGGATTGTCGTTGAACCTGATGTCAAAGCCTTGTTTTGCCAGTCTTGTCACTGACAGGATTGGGTCGTGGATGTCACACACATAGAATGGTATGACAATTGGTTGTCCTCTTGATTGCATGTAGACCCATCTTACTCCATAGCATTGTATTGTCTTGTTCGTCACTGTCCTAAGGTTTGGGCTTTGTGCTTGATCGATCTTGTACACTGGATAGTTGTCTGCAAACCATAGTGGACAGACGTGTGTGGCTGCTCCACTGTCGATCATGATGTGCATAGTGTCTGTTGTGCCGCTGCTTGTGGTGTCTGTCTTGTAGTCATTGCCATTGTTGATCATGGCGATGACATGGATTGGTGTCATGTCATTGTCGCCATTGGATGGAATTGGTGGTAGTGCCAATGGCTGTTGTCCTGGTTGTGGTCTCATGTAGTCCTGACAGTACCATCCATTGTCATAGTAGTCATCGTACCATTGTGCTGTCGCATCCTCAATGTCGTTGCTTTCTCCTTGTCCAATGTTGTGTATTGCCACTCTGCAATCTTTGGCAAAATGTCCTGTTCTTCCACATCTGTAGCATGTATCTGTTGCTTGTTTTCCTTTGTTCTTTCCCTTGCCTTTGTTGTATCCTTTGCTGAATCCTTTGTTGCCTCTTCCGAATGGATTGCCAAAGCCAATCGGACTGTTGTTGTAGTTGTTGAATCCTTTTCCTCCACGCTTTCCTTTTCCTTTGTGGCTGATGTTGTAACTGTTGTATCCGTAGCCGTTGTATCCTCCGTGGCCTTTACCTTTGCTCTTTCCTTTTCCTTTACCTTTTCCTTTGTAACTGTTGTACTTACCTTTTCCTTTGTGGATTGCATCAATGTCCATGGGTGCTTGTCCTCCACCAAAGCTTGTTGCTACACTGGATGATTGTGATCGTATTTGTTGCAGTTTGCTGAATGCTGTTGTTGATCTGTAGTACTCGATGATTGTTTGTTTGACTCGTGCATAGTTTGGGCTTTGTCCTGAAAGCAGTTGTAAGTGTTGTTGTAGTGGTCCACTTGTCTCGTTGAGCAATACGGCAATCTTCACTGAGTCTGGGAGTGTTTGTCCATTGTCTCGCTCAAATCGTTGTAGTTCGAATTCCCATGTGGAAAATGATTCTTCGAAGTTGTTCTTGTCAAAGGTTGGCTTCAACAATCTTGTCAAGTGCCCTATGGATCTTGTCCCCAATGGGATGGAGAAGCGGATGCACAATTGTCTGTACATCTCGAAGCCAATTGTGTGTTGGTATTGTCTGCATACTGTAGCTGCTGCTCCAGTTGTTGTGTTGATGAGGATGTACCTCAGGTTTGTGCTGAGGCGAACATGTCGTTCACCATCTTCGATTGTTGTTGCCGCTGCTCGTAATTGTACCTCTGTGAGTTCTGCTGTGCCTCGTTCTGCTGCTTGTAGTAGTTCTGTGTAGTCGTTGTCTTGCAATCCCATGTATGCTGTGAACTTGTATTTCCATTCTTCGAACGTGCCATAGTCTCCATTGAAGAAGGGTGGTTTGAGTTTGTATCTGTTCATGTTTACTATGTTGGCCGTTGTCTCATCTTCTGGAACTGGAGGAAGTCCATCTCCAGCTTGAGCTGCTGCTTGTTGTGCTGCCATTGTTGCAGCTGTGCAAGCTACCTATTGTAGGGTCAAGGCTTGCTCTCCGTTGTGTGTGTTTGTTGGCTTGTGCCTGTTGTTGTATTGGAGCTCACCTGGATTGTTGTTACCAGGATCCTTGCTCCGCTACCATGTAAAATTCAGCAGCTGTTTGTTTGTCGTTTGTTTGTGCACGTCTCTGTATTGTTTCCTCTGGCAATTGTCCTTAGGCTCAAGGCCTCGATCCAAGTGCATTGTATAGCACTGTGCAATTGTACATGAACACTACGATGGAGCAAATGAACTATTGTGAAAGAACTTGTCTCTTGACATCTTTAAGTTTATCTTTCTCTGTCTTTCTCTCTGTAGAGCGCTCTGAGCGCGCCTTTCTGGAGCGTATGTCAGAGCGTGCGCCACAGAGCCCAGCCACAGAGTTGACAGAGTTCAGGGGCGCGGCCA